TCACCAAATTTCAATTCCTTGAGCAAATGTTTGATCCAAACTGGCTCACATGTTACAACAGCGATTACTCGATATTCTGCTTTTACACTAGACCGAGCAACCACACTCTGTTTCTTGCTCTTCTACGACACTAAATTACTTCCTACTAAAACACAATATCCAGATGTAGAACGTCTATTAGAAGGTGATCCTGCCCAGTCAACATTTGAGTATCCAACAATTTGCTCATGGCCTCAATCTTCAAATAATAATCCTTTGCCTGGAGTTGATTTTATATATCGAAGAATGCGGACAATTGTATCCCAATGACTATCACCGGGAGAATCCATAAACTGGCTCACGACACTCATATAAAAGGAAATATCAGGTCTAGTCACTGTGAGGTAATTTAATTTACCAACCAACCGCCTATATCTTGCAGGATTGCTAAGCGGCTCCCCCGTCCTGGCAGATGTTTAGAATTCAGATCCATAGGAATGTCAACAGGTCTACAACCTGTTATTCCTGTCTCCTCAAGAATGTGTAAAGCATACCTCCGTTGCAAAATTACAATAGCTGAGCTAGATTGAGCGATCTCAATGCCCAGAAAATACTTTAATCTGCCCAGATCCTTAGTCTGAAAGTGCTGAAAGAGATGTTGTTTCAATTGAGTAATACCATCCTGATCATTGCGGTAATAATAATATCATCAACATAAACCACCAGATAAATATAGAGATTTGAAGCAGAATGCCGATAAAACACAGAGTGATCAGCTTCTCTACGAGTCATGCCAAACTTCTGAATAACTGTGCTGAACTTACGAAACTAAGCTCGAGGAGACTGCTTTAGATCATAGAGGGACCGACGCAACCGACATACAAGGCCACTAGACCCCCCCGAGCAACAAAACTAGGTGGTTGCTCCATATAAACCTCATCCTCAGGATCACCATGAAGAAAAGCATTCTTAATGTCCAACCGATATAGAGGCCAATGGAAAACAACCACCATGGATAGAAAAAAGGCGGACTGATGCTATTTTAGCTACGTGAGAGAAAGTATCACTGTGATCGAGCCCAAATATCTAAGTATATCCTTTGGCAACAAGACGAGCCTTAAGTCGATCAACTTGACCATGTGGACCAACTTTGACGGCATACAGCCAACGACAACCAGCAGTAGATTTACCCGGAGGAAGAGGAACAAGCTCCCAAGTACCACTCATATGTAAAGTAGACATCTCGTCAATCATAGCCTGTCGCTATATTGGATGAGACATTGCTTCACCTATAGACTTAGGGATGGAGACAGAGGACAAAGATGATACAAACGCATAATGGGGTGATGACTGACGATGGTAACTTAAACCGACATAATGGGGATTAAGATTAAGTGTGGATCGTATACCTTTCCAAAGTATAATCGTTTGACTAGAAGGAGACAAATCCGCAATAGGAGTAGAGTTAGGTGCAGTTTGTGAATCAACCGGGTCTGATGCTGGGTGCGGACGATGATGACAAGCCAGGAGTGGTGGAGCTGTAGAAGGTTAAACTAGATTAGTGATGGAACTAGAGCTATAGGTGGTGGGGCTGGAACTGGAGTTGTAGGTGGTGGAGCTGGAGCTGTAGAGGAAGATGAATGGGAGATAATGACCGAATCTCCAAAAGATGAAATTGGTAGCACCTCAGAAATATCTAAGTAATTACTTAGATTGTGAAGTATGATTGGCTTTCAAGGAGGGTAACATCAACAAACATAAAGTATCGCTGGAGGTTAGATGCATAGCATTGATATCCCTTTTACGTTCTTGAATAAGCCAGATACACGCACTTAAGAGCACAGGGAGCTAACTTATCTTTTCCTGGAGTAAGGTTATGAACAAAACATGTGCTCCCAAAGACACGAGGTGGAAGAGAGAACAAAAGTGAACGGGAAACAAGACAGAGAATGGAACTTGATTTTGGATAGCTGAGGATGGCATACGATTAATAAGATAACAAGACGTAAGAACTGCATCCCCCAAAAACGCAATGGAACGTGAGATTGTATGAGCAGGGTACGAGCAGTTTCAATGAGATGTCTATTCTTTCTTTCAGCTATCCCATTTTGTTGAGATGTGTATGGACAAGACGTTTGATGAATAATCCCATGAGAGTTCATAAACTGCTGAAATGTGGAAGACAAATACTCTAAGGCATTATCACTACGAAATGTGCTAATTGAAACCCCAAATTGATTTTGAATTTCAGCGTGGAAGGTCTGGAAAATAGAAAATAATCCAGATCGACTTTTTATTAAAAATATCCAAGTGCACCTGGAAGAATCATCAATAAAACTAACAAAGTAGCGGAATCCCAAGGTAGAACTGACCTGACTAGGACCCCAAACATCTGAATGGACTAAAGCGAAAGGTGACTGCTCGATAATCAAGACGTGGAGGGAAATGGGAGCGAGTATGCTTACCGAGCTGACATGGCTCACACTCTAATGTGGACAAGTGAGATAAACCAGGTACCATTCTTTGAAGTTTTGACAAACTGGGATATCCCAACTGTTTATGTAATAAATCCGGTGAATTAGTAATAGGATAAGGTGTAGATGTGAGTCCATGTGATTTTGCAAGGATAAGGTAATAAAGTCCATTTGATTCACGCTCGGTACCAATGATCCGCCCCGTACTGCGTTCTTATATAAAAACAAGGTCATCAAAAATAAAATCGAGCATTTAACTGATTTGGCTAAGCGACTAACGGCTATGAGATTAAAAGGACTGCCGGTAACATAAAGAACTAAATCTAAAGGTAAGGAAGTAGACTTGCTTCACGGCTTGACCTATTCCAGTTGCCATGGTTTGAGACCCGTTAGCCATTGTGACTGTTGGAAGAAATTGAGAACATAAATAGTAGTGAAAATAGATTTGTTACCAGAGATATGATCAGATGCACTTGAATCAATGACGCAAGATTCGGAGGATGAAGATTGGGAGCCACAAGTCACGCTATTACTTGTTTGAACAACAAAAGCTATCTTAGAAGATGTGTGCTTACATGCTTTGTAGTAAAGGAACTCAATATAATCTGGTAAAGAAGCCATCCAACCATTCAAAGTATCGGTTCCAATTTTGTTACGACCAAAATTCTAACAACCTCCGTGAGCCCTAGCTAACTCCAAAAGTATAAGAGAAACTAATGTCAACTGTTACTGTTCACCAGAAAACACTGAGAAATAAGAGAAGTCGTCAGAATCTGGTGTAACCTTGATGGGTAGGCTTGGAAAAGCCTCGCGATCCAGCTGTCCTGAAGAAGCTCGGCCAAAAAATGGCCGGAAATAAGCTTAATCTGGCGCATGGGACAGACGCGCCGCCGGAAAATCTTTTCTGGCCGACGCATGAGAGCGCATGGTGGGGCCTTTGCCGGAGATTTTTTCTTTGTTTGGTCATCTGTCTTAGGGACCTTGTAGTGGTGTTGGATTTTGCACAACACCAAGGAAAAAGGATTTTGTAGCGGACAACCTCTTAAGTCACCGAAAAATTGCACGGCGATGAGGTCTTTATTTCCGGAAGTCGCTGGAGTGATGCACATCGATAAATTTCTCACTAATGATCTTATACCATGTGAGAATGCACGGTAGAAAAATCTTTTAATAATATTCTATTAAGTGTTATACAATAGCCCTATTTATAACTATACACAATACATATTCTACTCCTATTCCATGTGGGACTAGGGTTATTTATATAACTACCGTGAATAAACAATATTTGACAAAAGTTACCTATCACCAAAAATATGATCAGAGGCGTCCGAGTCCATGACCTACGGTCCAAGAGTAGTAGACTGGGAAACACAAGCAAAGGAATTACCTGCAATAGAAGTATCAATCTGAGCAACAAAGGCTACTCTTGGAGGTGTTTGCTTACTTGCATGATACTGAAAGAACTCATTATATTCCCTTTCAGATAAAGAAAACCCCTGGTTACCTGCAGTATCGGTTTGAGCAATATGAACATTTTTAGGTGGTCGACCATGCAAAGAGTAACATACCTCACGAGTGTATCCAAGCTTATTAGAATAAGAACACTTAGGTCGAGATTTTCTAAAACGACCTCCTCCTCGTCTATTCTCCATAGTTCAACATGTTCGATTTTCCACTGTCCGAGTACGAGAATAGAGGATTCAATAGTTTGTGGTGAGACCGCTGTGTGAATGGGTGGCGCAGCAAGACGAAGCAATCAAGAGAATAGTTCATCAACTGTAGGTCTGTAGGAACAGAAGGACTAGCCAAAATTTGGTCACGCATAGAGTCAAGGTCATTAGGAAGTCTAGAAAGTGTAAGAACTAGAAACATCTTTTGTCGTTGCTACTGTTGTTTTTCAACACTAGCAGTGACTGACATCAACTTCTCAAATTCCTCCATAACTACCTGTACCTATTCCAAGTAGGTCGATATGTCGAATTCCCGTTTCTTTAAGTTTGTCATCCGAGATATTATATCATAAAAATGAGATATGTCATTAGTGTATAAAGTACGAGCCTTCTGCCAAACTGAATAACATGTCTGGGATGGACGAAACAAATCAATTTTCTCCCGGAGTGCTTTGGCCTTTTTATCTCCATCACTAGCCTTCTTGGTTAGGTGATCTTGAACACCTTGACCCTTGCACCACACCTCAACGGAAGAAGCCCAGGCTAAGTAGTTTGAACTTGGTTCCGAAGTAATCATCAACTTGAATTTCCAGAACCGGTGCTTTTAGAACCTAAAACATCAAATCCGAAAGACATTCTTGGATCAGGATTGCTAATTCAAGTATGATAGTGTCCTTGATATGCAACAGTGTGATATGCAGTTATTCTGTCTGTCCTTGTAGCTTCACCTTTCAATTTACATGGGATGCATCTTTCTATTTAAATTTACATCATCTTCTTTTTCATAAAGTAAGATTAGAATCTTACAGCATCTTTCTACTTAAAACACAGCATCTTTGTACTTAAGGTAAGATTTACAGTTAATCTTTGATAGGAACTTGCAGCTAAGCTGCGGTCAACTCTGTCACTGAAACGGCTGCTCGAGTATGTGCCATCACAAGCTGAACTCATTCAGTATGTTCCTCTATTACTGCTTTTCCCTTTTGTGCAAAAAACTTTTCCTCCCTGTTGAATTTAGAAATCCCTTTTTAGTATGCTCAGAAATATAAGGAGTCAGGCTTTCTAAAAAATGTTTATTTTTTCCTTAACAAGAAAAGAAATATAAGGAGCAGTGCATGTCGCCCTGGTGTAGAACTGTTTTATTGACTTACAAACCAAGTAAACTCTAGCTCTTTGAAAACTTTTATCCGGAACAAATTCAAGCTAAAGATTATGTGGGAGTCTAACCTTATCTAAAGGTACTTGCAGTGTTATCAAAGGTGAAAAGCGCAAAAAAGCTCTAAGGTCTGTTGGGGCTTTAAGCGCAAAGCGCAAATAAAGCGTGGGCGTTAACGAAAAAGGCACAATGGGAGAAAAAGTAAAAATATGCATGTAGTCCAAGACTAATCATTATAAGCATGATTAACAATTATATGGACAAAGAAATTGAAAAAAAATTCACGATAAAGTGAAATGTCAATTGTTTAAGGTCGCCTTTTCAGGATTACACTCATTAGCAAGGAAAAGTATGCCTTAGAGCTTTGATGCAACACTAAAGCACCCACCAAGCGAGGCGAAGTGCTCAACGTGTTTTGAGCCTCGCTTCAGGGTTTAAGCGCGCCTTTGACAACACTGGGTACTTGAATTCTTTAAAGAGTTTCATCATTTATCAATGAAACCTCGTTTCATCATAGCCCAAATCTGGTAAGCTCTTAAATCTGTGAAGAGGTTTTTGCTTTCAAGAATTAATGGAATAGCTTTTAGCTGTGATATTGATAGAGTAGCATTTAGCTGTGATATGGATAGAAGCAATCGGTTATGGTATTGATTTAGAAAACCCTGGATTGGCTTTTCACCTCTGTTTATCTTGGTTTTAGTTTGTTAATGTAAATTTCTGTGATTGCTGCCTTACTATTTTATAAATGGTTCAACTTTCTTAAGTGAAAAAGGACCTGTGCACAAAATTTAATAGAGGATTTTCTGTTTGAGATTTATAAACGTCTCAGAGTTTTACTGTTGTGAAGTAGCTAAGCAGGAGGTGGGATCTGATTCTCCAGCATCCCTCCTGATGATTTTGGAGATGAAAACTGCATAAGAGCAAATTAGCTTGTGGGGTGTAGATGTATTCTGATGGATTATGTTCAATGGTCTTTTTAGCTTCTTGATTATTTAGGTAATGTTGAACTTCAGTTGTCTTCTGATATTGTATAAGCAAGAGCAATGCACTATTGTCAAAGGCGCACTTTGAAGCGAGGCGCAAAACATGTTGAGCACTTCGCCTCGCTTAGCGGGCGCTTCAGTGTCGTCATCAGTGCTCTAATGCATACTTTTCCATGCAAATGAGCATAATCCTGAAGAGGTGGCACTAAACAATTGATCACTTTATCGTTATCTATTTCATTTTCTTTGTCCATATATATATGTTATTTATGCTTGTACTTATTAGTCTAGGACTACACATACATCTTTGTATTTTTCCTCCATTGCGCCTTTCTTCATTAAAACCTACACTTTATTAGTGCTCTGCGTTTAAAGCCCAACGAACCTTAGAGCTTTTTTGCGCTTTTCGCCCTTGATAACTGCAATGGACACCCTTGAATATGGCTGATTTCAAATTTAGTGCATTCATTGTCTTACTACTGGAAGTATCAAGAATTCTTTCCTCATCTTTTTTTTCATTGCTCATGTCAATTCCTTTTCTTAATGTATTAATGTTCCTTCTAGTACCTTATTTCCTAAAAATATTAATTGGAAAGAGATGAGGAAAACTTGCATATACTTTGGGAGCATAGAGTCAAATGTTATGTTGTCTGGAATCATTCGTTCCATATATAAATGTGTCTTAAAACTCAAACTTTGACTCTGCTGCTCCAATAAAACTACTGAAGTTTCTCACTATTCGTAAAAACAAATAGGAGGCAAGTACATTGTTGTAAACGCCTGCAGTTTTGCTTTAAAAAGGGGCAGGGTGGCTGGAGGGGAGTTGAACACTCTAAATCTTACTTAGTCAATAAGACATTCCCTATTTGATTCTAGAAAAACAAAATAAGGCATTTCCTTACGATGGGAAAGTTTCTAGAACTAATTGTTGAAGATGGTTAACTGGTTAATTATCACTTAAAGTTTTGTAAAGATGATACTTGTACCAGCCACCGCGACTTTCTTATACAAATGGATTCTTTGCTTTCGCTGCTTGTTTCTGTTTTCAGTTAAAGAGCACCTTAGATATGTGAAAAAGTTTAAGTGCGGCATGAGTCAAATAAACCAACAGTTCCAAGTTCCGTCTTTCTCCTGCATTTTTTGGCTTCATGTATTTACTATTGTCCTTAGGTATGAGAAATTTGACACTGTGATTTCAAGATCATTTATCATCTCCTCTATCATCTAGTCCAACTTTTGATGTTTGAACGTATTATCCTGTATTTGCACAAAAAAAGCTGCACTCTAGCCATCAGAGACCTGTATAATTGTTCCAGATGCATTATACTAACTAGCTGGAGCACTAGTTTTGGAGATCCGGAACTGTTCATCATATTTATAGTTAAAGAAAGATACCAGGACAAAGAGTAGAAAATTAGATGGTTTCACATATCAATTACCACAACTCTTGTTATAAAGCCCATCAAATTGTTTTTTGTTTATTTATTTGAGTTGATCCTGGTATGAGAAGTTTAGTTCCTAGTTTTTGATATTGTATCTATGTCAAACATTTTGAATCACGATTAAGGTAGTCTCGCATAGTTGTTTAAGGGAAAGTAATCTAATTCAGAGGTCGTTATGTCATGATATCATATTTCTGGTAGGAGTTTATCCATAAGCACACTGATTACTGCAGATAGCGAATTGTGCTCATGTTTTCATTCACTAACCACAACATTCAAGTGGTGGTGGAACAACATTTACTATCCTTAAGTGGTTGAAGCATGCTCGTTGGCTCTCTCTCTCTCTCTCTCTCTCTCTCTCTCCCTCGCGCCCTCGCTCCCTCGCTCCCTCCCTCCCTCCCTCCGTCTCTCTCTCTCTCTCTCTCTCTCGCTCTCTCTTGCTCTCTCTCTCTCGCTCTCCCTCGCTCCCTCGCTCCCTCGCTCCCTCCCGCCCTCCCTCCCTCCCTCCCTCCCTCCCTCTCTCCAAGAAACGTGAAAGCTCTTGAACTTAGTTTGATGCTCTTAGAGTCCCACATTGGTTAAGTATATTACTTATAGTTTGCTTATACGGTCGGGCAATCCTCATCAATCTTGAGCTAGCTTTTGGGGTCGTATTATGCCCAATGTCTATTTTTCAACATGGTGTTAGAGTAAGACCCCTCTCTGATGTTGGGTTACCCGACATTGGGCTGCCCAGTTAGGTTACTACATGGTCCAGATGTTTAGTCGTAGGCATGCGAGAATCCACAATCAGTAAGAATGTCTATTGCAGTCTCCTCATAAGATGTGCAATTCTCACTGCTTGAGTTAGCTTTTGAGGTTCAAGTTATGCTCAAGGTCCATTTTCTCAATGGGTACCTACCTTAAATTAAACTCATAAATCATATGACATATTTTAATTGTCTCCTCATCACCTCTCTTGAAAATTGAGCATCAAATATATTCACTCCCATAGAATTTTCTTTATCTCGGGAATCAAGCTCTTTTATTACTGGTTAGTTATGTTTTCTAGAATGTAGCATAATGTTTCTTTCGGAAGAATAAAAGATGCTATTTTGTAGTCTACATGGTGTCTTCACTACATTGATCCTATTCAACGTCCCATTGTCTGTCTCTTTTACTAAATATTGATAAACTTCAAAAAGATTTGTTTGTTCGTGTGTCTGTTATTAGCCATGAGTATTGTTGGATTTATCTTAATATGCCTGGTACATCATACTTCCGACAGAGCTTTTTTGACGCAGGTATGAACTCCGTTTTTCAGAACTTTATACTGATATCCAGGTACAAGCATAGTTAGTGACTTAAACCATCGTTTGACCATGACTAACATTTCAGCTCCTTGTCAATCACTTTGTTAACACTGAATATGCAGGCCAAGCATCGTCAAACCCACAAATACTATGCTACTTACAACATATTGTTGGAGATAAAGGAATTGATGCTAAAGGAAACATCGTTACTGAATTCCATAAGCTCACAGGTATAGTACAAAGCAAAATAGAACCTTTATCCCTTTTGTGAAATCAATTTTATGGGCAACCCTGCATACATGATGTATACATATAAAACTATATTTCTACACTGATCCCTATATATATGTGTGTGTGTGCGCGCGCGCGCGCGCGCGTCTATATATATATATATATCTATCTATATATATATATATATATATATATATATATATATATATATATATATATATATATATACACACACACACTATCTATTTTCTAATGTGGGACACTTAACATACTACACAAGCTATCTAGCAGAGATGATATTTAATTTCCCTTTCTATGAGTATTATAAGTCAGTTTATGAACTCTCCTTGCGACTGGCATTGGGATGCAGTTGTCCGCATTCTTCGAACATATAAAATCATCCCCAGGCAAAGGACTGCTCTTCGAGGATTGAGGCCATGAGGAAATCGTTGGATACAGAGACACTGATTGGGTATGGTTACCTTCTGATAGATGTTCTACATTTAGATATAGTATAGTAAAGGTAATTTGGTGTTTTGGAAGAGCAAGAAACATAATGTGGTTGCTTAATCTAGTGTAGACGCAGAATATTAAGTGTTGAATGACAGAGGATTTCCGGGAAGATATTCTCCATATCAAGATCTGATCCTCTAAGATTTTAGAGATAGTTGTTGTAATCTAGAATATCAAATTCTGATTTTTTTTTTTTTATTTTATTCTGTATAATCCCAGATTTTATGGGATTTAGATGATTCTGTTTCTAACCTCTTCTTGTATATAAAGCCATGTATATGACATTCAAAGACATGAATGAAATTATTCAAGTTTCTTACTCTTTCCACATGGTATCAGAGCGTTAGGCTTATTATTGATTGATTTTTTTTTTCATTCATCCATCTTTTCATCACATTTGTCCTCTTTATCCGCCCAAGGGTTGAAACCATTTGAAAACCATGTCCGAAAAGAGTACTATTGCGAATACTCCAGTCTCTGAAAATGTTTCTGCCACTGTAGAGCATAGCTCTTCAGTTTCAACTGGAGATTTACAAAATATTCAAGCCTCTTATCGGTTGAATGGGAAAGTTTATCTAAAATGCTCTCAGCTTGTTCGTACCTTTCTAAAAGGTAAAGGGAAATTAGGACATCTCCTCGGTACAGGACCATCCAAAGAAGACCCCAAGTTTGATGCATGGGATGAACATGATTCAATGGTGATGTCATGGTTATGGAACTCCATGCTTCCAGAAATTAGTGATACCGTTATGTTTCTGAATATTGCTAAGGAAATTTGGGATGCAGTGAAGGAGACATACTCTAAAGTTCATGATGCTGCCAGGATCTATGAAATAAAAACAAAATTATCTGCAACAAAAGAGGGAGCTCGATCTGTCACTGAATATTCTAACCTTTTACAGGGTTTATGGCAAGAGATGGATCACTATCAATGCATTCAAATGCGTTGCACAGACGATGCTGTAATTTTGAAAAGATTTATTGAAAAAGAAAGGATTTATGATTTTCCTGCAGTGCTAAATGCACAATCTGATTCTGCACGAGTGCAAATTTTAGGGATAGAAGATCTGCCATCATTGAATGAGACAATGGCCATTATATGGACAGAGGAAGGACGGAGGAGTGTTATGCTTGAAACTCAAATAAATGAAGGATCAACTCTTATGACAAAAGGGACAAATAAAAAGGAGTCTAGAGTTTCACAATTGGAGAGCACCGTCAAGCCCGCAATTTCATTCAAACCGCTTGTCAACAGGGACAATCTTTACTGCACTTACTGCAAAAAGTACCGGCACACGAGAGAGATGTTAGAAACTCAATGGTAAACCTCCAACCAAAAATACTTTTGATGGAAAGCAGGCACACATTGCTAGCAGCCCTCAGATTGATGAAAAAAGTCCATTAGTCCCAGAATTCAACAAAGAAGATATTGAGAAATTGAAGACATTGCTGGAATTTCTGGAGATATCATCTTCGGCAGGTAGTTGTTCAATGGCCTTTGCAGGTATTTCTTCAACTTTTGTTGCTAATGTTAGAGACAAATTTTATCCAATGTGGGTGGTTGATTCCGGGGCAACTGATCATATGATTTGTCCCTCCCATCTCTTTATATCATATTCACCTTGCCCTAGTTATAAAAAAATAACTATAGCCGATGGTTCAGTTATCACTGTAGCTGGCCAAGGAGACATACAACTGGGAAAGTCTTTGATACTTAAGAATGTTCTTCATGTCGCAAAGTTATTTGCAAATCTCATTTCTGTCCACAAAGTCACCAAAGATTCCAAATGCTAAGTAACCTTTTTCTCTTCATATTGTGCATTTCAGAAACAGACACGAAGGAGATGATTGGGCGTGCTAGTGAGAAAGGTCGTCTTTATTTTCTGGATTTTCACAATGGTGGAGATACAATTAAGAATTCCTTATCTAGTTCATTCTTGTCTAAATCTGTTATGTCCAATAAAGAGAGAGTTTGTCTCTATCATCGCCACTTAGGTCATCCTTCTTTTTATGTGATCAAGCTAATGTTTCCATCTTTATTCAAAGATTTGGTTGTTGAGCCTTTTCATTGTGAAGATTGTGAAATTGCAAAACATAAACGTGTTTCCTTTCCAATAAGCAACAAAACATGTCAGACTCCATTTTCTCTTATTCATAGTGATGTTTGGGGACCCTCTTCCATTCCTAATATTTCCGGTGCTAGATGGTTTGTGTCATTCATTGATGATTGTACAAGAGTTAACGTGGATCTATTTGTTAAAGCAAAAATTAGATGTCAGCCACGTTCTTCCTACCGTTTTAATCTGGTTAAAACCCAATTTGATGTGACAAGTAAAAGATTCCTTTCTGATAATGCCAAGGACTACTTCAATCAAAACATCTCTGTTTTCTTCAAAAAGGAGGGAATTATTCACGAATCTTCATGTGTCAATACTCCTCAACAAAATGGGATAGCAGAGAGAAGAAACAGTTTGTTACTTGACATTACTAGATCACTATTGTTTCACAAAAGGGTTCCAAATCAGTATTGGGGGGAAGCTGTCCTAATTGCTGCATATCTTAGTAACAGAATACCATCAAGAATTCTGAATTTTAAGAGCCCACTTGATACTCTTAGGAGTTTCTTCCCGAATTTCGAAAATTCCAGTAAATTAATTCCTAGAATCTTTGGGATCCCGAATTTCGAAAATTCCAGTAAATTAATTCCTAGAATCTTTGGGAGTATTGCCTATGTTCACATTCATTCTCAAAATAGAGGCAAATTAGATCCACGTGTTCTTAAGTGTGTTTTCATTGAATATTCTCCTACTAAAAAAGGATATAAGTGTTACCAACCATCAACCAAGAAGTTTTTTGTTTCAGCTGATGTCACATTTGATGAAAGTGAGTCATTTTTTAAAAATTCTTACATTCAGGGGGAGTCATTGGATGGAAAAAGATCTCTAGACTTATCACTGCTTGATTTGTCTATTCCTAGCCATGACAAATCCTTATCTGTATCCTTGCCTGAGTTACCATCTCTTCACTCATCTGAGTCTCTAAATCCTAATGAACCTATTGAGTCCTCTAATCTTGATATAGATAAAGGAATTCAAGAAAGTAATCCACCATTGCAGGGTTATTCCAGAAGAAAGAGGCTAACTAATCAAACTACTCTGCCACAATTATCTCCTCATGTTACTGCTCCTAATACCTATCCTGAACCTGTTGAACCATCAGAAACACCAAACCAAACTGATCATGAAGAAGGACATAACCAACCAAATGACCTTGACCTTCCCATTGCACTTAGAAAAGGAACCAGAACCTGCACACAACACCCTTTGTGCCTTTCCTTGACATATCAAAACCTATCCCCAAGCCATAAAGCTGTTCTCAGTAACCTCTACACAATTCCTGTTCCAAAAAATTTGTCTGAAGCATTAGGTAACAAAGAGTGGGAAGAAGCTATGAAGGTGAAAATGGAAGCATTGCAGAAGAATAAAACTTGGGAAATGGTGGAATTACCAAAAGGGAAAAAGCCGGCAGGGTGTAGATGCGTGTTTACCGTGAAATTCAAGTTAGATGGGTCTATAGAAAGATTTAAAGCACGTTTGGTAGCAAAGGGTTACACACAGACCTATGGAATTGATTATTTGGAGACTTTGCCCCAGCGGCAAAAATGAACACAGTGAGCATCTTATTGTCATTGGCTGCGATTTTTAATTGGAACCTACAACAATTTGATGTTAAAAATGCTTTTCTACATGGAAATGTAGATGAGGAGATCTAGATGGGGTACTACCTGGTTTTGAAAGCAAGAAGGGAATGGTATGTAGACTGAAGAAGGCACTCTATGGACAACAGCAATCACCCCGTGCATGGTTTGGAAGATATACAAAGGTTATGATCAAGCTAGGCTATCGGCAGAGTCAAGGAAACCACACCTTGTTCATAAGACACTCAAAAACAGGAAAGTTAACTGCTCTACTAGTCTATGCAGATGATATCATAGTAACTGGTGATGATTCAGAGGAGATACACAATTTGAAGAGTTGTTTACTCAAGGAATTTGATAACAAAGATCTTGGAAAATTAAAGTATTTTTTGGGAATTGAAGTAGCACATTCTAAACAAGGAATCTTTATTTCCCAACAAAAATATGTGCTTGATTTGCTAAAAGAAACGGGGAAATTAGGGTGTAAACCAGTGGCCACACCAATTGAATATAATCATGGGTTGTGTAATGCCCCAGAAGATTCTGTGGTAGATAAAGGCTCGTATCAAAGGCTTGTCGGGAAATTGATCTACTTGTCCCATACAAGGCCCGACATTGCCTTTGCTGTAAGTGTCGTTAGCCAATTTATGCATGACCCTAGAGAAATGCATCTCCAAGCGGCCAATAGGATTCTACAATATCTTAAAGGAAGTCCCGGAAAAGGAATACTATTCAGAAGGAGGAGACATGGTTTTAGAGGCTTATACTGATGCGGATTATGCTGGTTCATTAGTGGATCGAAGGTCAGCTTCTGGATACTGTACTTTTTTAGGAGGAAATCTTGTGACTTGGAGAAGTAAAAAACAGAATGTTGTGGTCAGATCAAGTGCAGAATCCGAGTTCAGATTTATGGCAATGGGAGTTTGTGAGTTGTTATGGTTAAAGATAATCCTTGATGATTTGAAGATAAGATGGGAAGGACCTATGAGACTATATTGTGACAATAAATCAGCAATAAGTATAGCTCATAATCCTGTACAGCATGATCGCACTAAGCATATTGAGGTAGATAGACACTTTATTAAGGAGAAATTAGATAGTGGACTCATCTGTACGCCATTTGTATCTACAAAAGATCAGTTGGCCAATGTTTTAATAAAAGGACTGCCAAACGGTGTGTTTCAAGACCTGATAAGCAAGCTAGGAATGGAAGATATCCATTCACCAGCTTGAGGGGGAGTGTTGAATGATAGAGGATTTCCAGGAAGATATTCTCCACATCAAGATCTGATCCTCTAAGATTTTAGAGAAAATTGTTGTAATCTAGAATTTCAAATTCTGGTTCTTTTTTTATTTTATTCTGGATAATCCCAGATTTTATGGGATTTAGATGATTCTGTTTCTAACCTCTTCTTGTATATAAAGCCATGTATATGACATTCAAAGACATGAATGAAATTATTCAAGTTTCTTACTCTTTCCACATTAAGCAATGGCGATAGCAACTTGTGAGCTAAATTTGGATCTAATAGTTGCTTAGAGAATTGAAACCTCGCGAAATCTGTTAGATGGAATTTGTGTGATAATCAAGCGGCTCTCCATATCACATCAAATACGGTATTCCATGAGAAGATTAAACACATTGAGATTGGCTGTCACTTTGTTAGGGGAAAGATGCTCTTAGGAGATACTGTTACAAAATCAGTGAAGGTAAATGATCAATTTGCAGATATTTTCACCAAATCCCTAATTGGTCCTCGTATTAGTCTAAGTTGTGTGGACTCTTCGTTTTTGGTGCCGCACCCGTCTCGACACGGGACGGGAGCGGGATATTCGGTCAACTAACTTCGCATACTTTGTCCTGAGTCCATTGACAAATTTGGAGGGGGGGGGGTTGAGATTTTGAATTCTCAAAATTACAAATAAAACAGATTTAAGACATGGGAAATGACATACCTTCAATATTGTTGTACTTTTGTCTTATAGTTGCTGCTTTGTGTTTAAGAATAACCAAGAATTCAAGGGGTTGTATCTGAGTTCGGACTTTTGGTAGACAGTAGCAGCTACATAGATGGAGAGTTGGTGGAAAGCCTTGAATGACTTTCTTTTTCTCTTTATAGTTTTATTTTTTATAATTTTGATTTTTTTAGCCGTATCTCTACACCCGTATTCATACCTGGATCCGCACCCCCGAATCTTAAAATTTAGAGTTTGCTGAATCCGACACTCGGATCCGTGCCCGTATAGAATGCCCGCACCCGAATCCAAGCAACTTAGGTATTAGTTACATTTGTAACATGCTCGGTACATATGACTTATATGCACCGGCTTGGGGGGTAGTATTAGATAGTTAGTGTATATAATAATATACTTAGTGTCCCACATTAGGAAATAAATATTATATTTTGTCTGAAGTATGCATATAATAGGGCTCAATGTAAGGCAATTATGTTACGCATCTTAATAATATTTTCCCGTATCCTTATTTCTCACATTAGGTATGCAGAAACACTCGCTTCTTGATGTACTTTCAAGGTTTTGGACCTCTCAGTACAAGAAGAGAGAAAATAAAAGCACCCCACTGAAGTTTTTCAAAATACTAGCAAAAGCGTTCTTCAAACTCACGTGAGAAGAATGTTAGATGAAAAGAATCTTACTACTCGTTCCCTCTCGTTCTTCAATACTGCAAGATTGCAAGGAGCATTGAATAACGGAAGAAGAAACAAACAAAATATAAATCACGTTTTCGAAGCATGAGCTTAGGAGAACCAATCACCAATGTTTATTTTCAGCATGTTGAGCCCTTTAAATCGGCCATACAATAAGGAAAGTTGATGAGATTAAGAAAAACTAATCTTAATTAAACTAGAATAAGAATTAAGTTAAGAAAAAACTATCCTAACTAAAATCGAACAAAGAATTCTAGTAGGTATAGAGTACCAACTAACAATCTTAGTTTGACTAGAACTACAAGTATAATCATACTAAAACAAAGAATCAAATTACTAGGAAACAAGAATTAAGAAATCCTAATCTTTAAGGAAAAGAAATCCTAAAATCTTGTATGGATTGTTGGACTTCTTAAATTTTTTGAGATTCTTGGGTCTCAATCGGACTAAGGCTAGTCAGTGTAAGCATTTTAAATTTGTGGCCCAGTTCTCCAAATTCATTGGCATCTTCGTGAGCCCGTTAGCCTCCATTGCGGTATAAAGCATGGTTTCAACTTGTGCTTCTCTTACATCGTGATTTGAGCTTGTATGTTTATCACTTCTCATTTTTTAATAGTCATTATAGAAAAAGTTAACACCGAGCACACAATTCTTTTTCTCTTACCATAAATCTTTCACTTTGCATGACTGACATTCTTTGTTTTATATGATGTTTCCCTAAATATTCAGCTCTTTCATATCTCAGTCTTGCATGTTTGTTTATTCAGAAGTTCAAATCCCATACTATTGTTTCTCCTTATTCCTTGAAATCTAGGCAAAATTTGTTGTATTCTTGCTCGATGTTGAGTATATTGGTTGCCAGGAAGGCATCACTTTGAGCATATCCCACATTCCAGCTTTCTTGCCAAAGCTAATTGTGGTGCCCCTTCTTCGCTCTTTCACAATGCCTCTCCATAAAGATACTCCATAGGCATCGTATTGTGGTTGTTCTTCATCATCCCGTTTGTTCTCATAATTGTTAGCAGTGATATTTTTCCACAATGCTTTCTTTCATTCTCTACTTCTACATCCATTTACCTAGTTGAGCGCTCTTGAACATCCTCAGATTTCCAACTCCGAGATCCCCACTTCATAGGAGCTGTAACTGTTGTTCAATTGACCTAGTGAAACTCTTTTTAACTCCCGACACGAGTCTCTCTCACAGAAAGTTTCTTTGCAACTGTTCTAGCCTATCTAGATGTTTCTCGGTATAGTCAATAAGGAGATGTAGTAGGTTTGAGTGCTGGATAATCTCTAACGGTACTATCTTAGTACTGTATATCATTAAAATCTTACCTTTAGTTCAAATGCTGGATAAAGTGCTCTTGGTCAATGTCTCCTTTCCCCCTTTCGGTAGGTCTCTTTCATGCCATCCAGTAACCTATTTTTCACTTTCTCAACCATTCTCCACTCTCCACTGTCCTTACTTTTTGCACCCAAGGATACCCCACTTGGGAATTAGAGCATCCAACTGGCATGTTTTTGGAAAGCTCAATCTGTTTCCATTCCCTTATTTTATCACCCTAAAATAGAAAAGGAAAAGTTCCTTCTCCTTCTAATCTCTGACAACTCTGCAAAATCTATTTAACCTTGTCTTTGGCTTAAACCATTGGTTTCGTTCTTTTTGCTTCGACTTTCAGTAAACTTTCTAATCTCCTTTACAAAATGCTTATGGAATCAAAATGGAAACTCATCTTCCTGCACTTAATAAGTCGATATTACTCCTTAGTTACATAATACGCAACCTAAACACTTTAAAAATCTGTAAATTGTTGGACCATGGCTTAGTTTAATGAGTACTGATTGGCTTAGTTCTTTCTCCGTCTTTCTTAGTGGCTCTCTTCTTATTTTCTGAAAAGTTGTCTTTAGCTGGTAGTGACGTAGTTGATGAGTGAGTGAGTGAGTTATGTTGATTGTTTGTTCTCTTGATGAGTGGAAAGACTTATGGTGCTTTTCTGAGTATATATTCCTCTTTTTATGCATCACAACTGACTTAAAACAAATTAAATTGAAAAGAATACTTTGTAATCCATCTTACGCACTTTGTGCTTCTCTGATAGTTTTCTTAGGTTTCTACCATGTACAATGTATATTGATCATTGTTGATATCCAAACTTTGTTTGCATCTTCTCCCTTCATGTGCTGATCCATTACGTACACAGTGTTTATTTCTTTTATCTTGTCACCTATTGTGTCTCTTTGTATAGTTTAAAGGTGCTCTTACTAGCCCTGCTGGTCGAAAGAAATTGATTGATTCCATGGAAGGAATTCTGCACGGGGTTCAACAGGTATCTATGCTTCTCCTCATTCAAATGCATATTTTATAGAGTGATCAGTGATGGTGGATTGAAAATCAAGATCTAGAATAGGCTCTGCCTGTGGGGGTTTTCACAAAGTATTGCCAGTTCTTAACATGGAAAAGTTGGAGAGTTGTTGTATATTGACAACTAATGTAATATAGCATAATTATGGTGAATTGAGTGAACACACAGAAACAGAGAATTCGTTAATTTGTTGGAATTGATATTGATTACTAATTCCAGTTTGAAAGAAGAAAAAAGGAGAATCAAGACTCTTCTGGGAGGGAGTACTAAAGCCAGGGCAATAAGCAACAAATAAGTTGAGCCAGCAGTAAGAAAGTTTCTCTTGACAGCATAACCATTGTTGAACAAATGGCAGTGCATCTGCCAAGGTTGAGACCTCTGCTGATGCAGTGCTGCTTGTTCAACAATGGTTGTAGCGTAAAAAGAATTCTAATATAGCTTTTGCATCTCTCGTTCCACATCCAATCCCCCTTCTTTCGGCGATCATGTCTTAAAGGGCCACAATATCGACAAGATTTTGCAAAAAACGTATATGATTAGTCACCAAATGTAGTTTACAACATCAACTTTTAGACACTCCATACTTCTTCAATAAGTTGGCCCAGTGCACATGAAAACACATTAACTCTAAATATTATTAAAAGGATAAACATACTATTAGAATAGAACCTTCCTACTTCTAGGAGAGAAATTAAAGGATTTACAACAACATACCCAGTGGGGTCTGAGAGGGTGGTGTGTACGCAGACTTTACCCTTACCTTGTGGAGATAAAGAGGTTGTTTCCAATAGACCCTCGGCTCAGGAAAGCATAAGCACAACAGTAATGAAAAGAAAAACAACACGAAACAACAACAACAACAACCCAGTGAAATCCCACTAGTGGGATCTGGGGAAGGTAGTGTGTACGCAGACCTTACCCCTACCTCGAGGGGGTAGAGAGGTTGTTTCCGATAGACCCTTGGCTCAAGAAGACGAAAAGAGGCAATATATTAGTACCACCAATAAAAAACATTGAAAAAATAACAGCATAACAAGAACCAGAAAATAGATAAAAAGCAAAATAATAATCAGTAGATAAAGCCCGTCACTAATAGGAACAAAAGAGTAGTATGAACTCAACACTAACCACTAGCAGTCTAAGACTAAATCCTAACAGACTAACCTCACTCTGGTGCGTCGTAGAAATATGGAAAAGCAGCATAAATAAAAAGATAGTAAACCGAAATGAAGGGAATAAAATGTAATATTAAAAACCTAATATGAACAAAATACGGGAGTACGTACTAATACTACCGGTATGAACAAGGAAAACACTAGGCTACCTAACCTACTACCCCAATCCTCGATCTCCATACCTTCCTATCAAGGGCCATGTCCTCGGTCACTGGTGTTTCACCTTATCTTGTCTAATCACTTTTCTAATACTTTTTCGGCCTACCTCTGCCCAGGGGGTGTCAATGGTTCGGTCGGCCGATTATTTTATAAAATTTGCACCATACCATTTTTTTCCGATTATTTTATTATGTATAACCAAAATTAGACTTTTCGAAACCGTCCCAATCATGTTGGTTTCTCTTCGGTATCGGTATGGTTCGGTTAATTTTCAGTATTTTTTTCAATGTCTTATAAATGTCACTAGTAAAATGCAATAACATGCGTACTTTTATAGGAAATTAGCAGAACTCTCTAGACATTTTTATTGTTTAAAGGGTGATGAATTAAGAAAACATGAAAGATGACCAGAGTATAGATCCATCAACTATTCTGTAGCAGTGTAAAAGAAACTAAGCAAAGACAAAGAAATTATAAATCACACGAGTGGAAAGATTTTAACCAAGTTGGAACTCAAGAATAAAGTTTGTAGAAGATAAAATATTCAAAGATAAATCTAGATCATATGATAAGGAAAGATATTCAATACATTGTAATTTGCTACTCATAGTCGCTGGAATACTTTGTGTCTTGCTAGTGAATATACAACAACAACAACAACACTAACATACCCAGTGTAGTTCCACAAGTAGGGTCTGAGGAGGGTAGAGTGTACGCAAATTGGTGGGCCGGGAGGGGTTGAGGGAGTTGGTGGGCCGGGAGGGGTTGGCCGAAGGCGAGCGTCGATGCTGGGAGGAGGGATGGGGGGAGGAGTGAGTGGTGGTCCGGGGGTAGGGAAGAGCAGTGTAATCCAGTGTTTTTGAGAGCGAGAAGCGCAAAAAATGCGACAGGGGCTCGCCTCGCTTCAAAAGCGAAGTGCACGCTTCATTGAAGTGAACCGCAATTCTTAAAAAAACATAATGTAAACCTTGCAAAGACACAATATAAATAATCAAAAAGTTCAATTTAAAAACTTAAAAGTAGGTACCACTACCGCCAATTCCTCCATAAACCATAGGACAAGCAAAATCACATAAAAATTAACTTTATAAACTGAAATACACATACAAATTAATTAATAAAGGCTAAAATACTAAATGAGTAGAAAAAAAGGAGAAAAAAAATTTCGCACCTGCCCTAGCTACGAGCAGGTGCCTGGACGGGAACAAGATGAAGAAAGAAGAAAGAAAAAAAAGAGAAGAAGAAAGGAGAAGAAGAAGAAAGAAGAAAGAAGAAAAATTACCTCGAGCTTCACTGTTGAAGTCTTGAACCCTAGCAGCAATTGATTTTGAGAGAAATGGTCTTTACTTAGGTTAGGGGTCTGTTTTGTATAATAAAAAAACAGACCCAAACTTTTTTTTCTTAAAACTGACCCCCTCCGCCACAAAAGCGAGCGCTTTGTCGCTTCTCGCTTCGCGCTTCTTCTACTGAAGCGAGCACTTCGTGTGGTCACCTCGCCTCAGGCATGGAAAAGCGACAAGGCATCGCTTCGCGTCGCTTCTCGCTTAAAGTGATCGCTTTGTCGCTTTTTAAGTCACTGGTGTAATCGAAGGTAAAAAGTGCAAAAAAGCTCTAAGATCGATTGGGGTTTTAAGCGCAAAACGCAAATAAAGCATGGGCTTTAATGAAGAAAGGCACAAACAAAGAAAAAAATACAAATATGTATGTGTCGTCCAAGGCTAATACTTATAAACATCAATAACAAATATATGGACAAAAAAATTGAAAAAAAAAAAACAATAAAGTAAAATATCAGTTCTTTAGTGTCACCTCTTCAGGATTAAGCTCATTGACACGGAACAGTATGCCTTAGAGCATTGATGACGACATTGAAGCGCCCGTTAAGTAAGACGAAGCGCTCAACATGTTTTGTGCCTCGCTTCAGGGATTAAGTGCGCTTTAAGTGCGCCTTTTATGACACTGCGGAAGGGTTGGCGGGGGTGGGGGCAGGGGCGGAGCTAGCATAGCACTTGCGGGTTCGGCCGAACCCAATAACTTTGGTCCAAAAAATGTATTTGTCTTAAAAAATTCATTGAATATGTATAAATTGTTAATTTAGAACCCAGTAACATAAACGATCTAGAATCCTGAACCCACAAGCATTGAATTCTGGCTCCGCCTCTGGGTGGGGGTCAGTGTGGAGCAGAGTTGGGGAAACTGGAAAGCGAGCGCTTCGTCGCTTAAAGCGAGAAGCAAAGCGATGTGATGGGTAGTCCGCTTCAGATCACTGACGCGAAGCGGCTTTATTGAAGTGAGCGCTTTCTCCACTTAAGCGTGAAGCGTGTGCAACGACTGAAGTTAGGGAAGCGTGTACTTTTTATTTTTTATTTAAAAAAGGTGGACTTTTTAGTGTGTCAAAAAGAAAACCATTGGTGCGACTTTCTTCTGTGAGTTACGACTAAGGTTGGGACTTTCTGTTGCTCTTCTTCTTCAAGCTCCAAGTATTGCTGCTGCTGCTTCTTCTTCTTCTCCTTCTCTTCTTGTTTCTCTGTTGTGATATCGTTATTGTTGTGATTTCTTTTTCTTTTCTTCTCGTATTCTTTTGCCTCTTCAGCTTTTATTTTATTTATTTGTTTGTCTATTTGTTTTTTCAGTTTATTAATTTAGTTGAATTTATTTATTTGTTTATCTTCTCTTTTTTTTTTTTCATGTGCTACTGTTTTTTTTTTTTACTTTGTTAATCTACTTGAATTTTTTAATTATTCTATTTTTTTCAGTTTGTTAATTCAGTTGAATTTATTTATTTATTTTTCTTCTCTTTGTTTTTTAGTTTATTTTGAATTTTTTTTAAATTGCACGACAGGGTGGTAGGTGGGGGGTTGGGAACCAGGGGGGTGTGGGGTGGTGTAGGTAGAGTTGAAAGAGAATATTCAAAAAATGTTTTTCCTCCTATTGATAGGAAGTCATTTTCGTACAACCCAGTGATGGTACTAATTTATTGTCTCTGTTCGTCTTCTTGAGCCGAGGGTCTTTCGGAAACAACCTCTGTACTCCTCGGGGTAGGGGTAAGGTCTGCGTCAGTGGCGTACGCAAGATTTTTCGTAAGCGGTGTCACAATTGTAAATAGTAAGCAAATAATAATTCACTTGTAACAACACCATATTGAAAAAATATTGTTCAAATCATACTAATAGAACACAACTCATGTATATTACTACAACTCTTATCGATGAATTTTCATTTTTAATTAGAAATCAAAATAACCTCATTAAAAATAATATTAAATATTTTTTTATAAAGAACCAAACAATCTCACAAAAAATTCATCATTCATTTGATTTCACAAACCATTCTTAATCAATTTCATGCCGAGAGAGAAAATGAAAGGAGAAAAAAGGAAGAAAAAATGCCGAACAACTTGGAATATCAGCCAAATAATTTATTATCCCTAGATTAACAACATGTGACTCTTGACACATTGGATTAATGCTCTTAACACCTAATAGGTCAGTCGTTCAAACTCCAAAAAACATTTTTTTCTATTTCGTTGATGATGCATTTATAAATATAAAACATGAAATAAAAGTTGCCTAGTTTCGAACCCGTTACATCCCCTAAAGAGTTGCAGCTCTTGACCAAATGTGCCACATAGCTATAAATGTCAAGTGGTGTCACTTTTACTGTATTTAACCTATTTCTGTTTCTGCATTTTAATTATATATACATGTTTAGTAAAATTTTCCGAGGAAGCGGTGTCACGTGACAACGCTTCCCCTACGGTAGATCCGCCCCTAGTCTGCGTGCTCACTGCCCTCCCTAGACCCCACTTGTGGGATTACACTGGTTTGTTGTTGTTATATATTTCTAAAACATTAAAGCCATTCAAACACGAGAAAATTGAAAAATTTCATACCAAACAACCCGATAGCTCTATTGTGAATCCATCAGGTGGAAGATAAGGAGGCTTTTTTAGAATAGTGGCTAGAAATTCGATGTCAAAAGGAGGAATTTATTACTCAAACCAATACCCCAAAGAAAGAGGAGTGGAAGACTTCCCCTGAACAGTTAGAAATTCAATTTTTAGAGCACAGAATCTATTCTCGGTCCAGTGAGAAATAATGAGAGAAAAAAACTTTTTCAGAACAATAAATTCAATGTTCAAAGGAGGGGTACCACAAAGAAAAGTAAGAAAAGTAGACTTTTCTGAAATGATAAGCAGAAATTCAGTTTTTAGAGGAGGAACTCAAATCAATACCAATACTTTGATCCTTTAAAAAAAATATAAAGAAGAAGTTTAGGAATATGCTTTACTAAAAAAGTTTTGAAAAATTGATTAGTGATTCGGAGGAGGCACTGCCACATGAATAGGTAATTATTAATCGGCGCGGTGTCAACATCACTAAAAATAAGAGTGCTTTCGTTAGGATGGTCATC